GCCGTGCAAGCGGCCATCTATCTTCTTGTCATGTACCTGCAGCTGCACGTTGCCTACTTTCTCCTTGGACGCATTTTGAGTGGCCTTATGGGAGACTACAACCTGATCCTGGCCAGCTGCTTCGCCTACGTGGCCGACACCAGCGACAAACGCACGCGTACCTTTCGCGTCGCCATCCTCGAGGCATGCCTCGGCATCGCGGGCATGCTGGCCAGCATCGGTGGTGGCCAGTGGCGCAAGGCTCAGGGGTACATCAACCCCTTTTGGCTTGTGCTTGCTGCCAGTCTTGCTGCCACTCTCTACGCTGTTTTCTGTCTTCAGGAATCGGTGAAGCAGCAGAAACCAGCCAAGCTGTTCACGCTCAGTCATTACAAGGCTGTCTACAGGCTGTACACGGCCCCAGAACAACTGAGCTCCAGGTGGAAGCTCGCTCTTTACTCCCTGGCTTTCTTTCTTCTTGTCACAGTACATTTTGGAACCAAGGACCTCTTTGTTTTGTACGAGCTTGGCTCCCCTCTCTGCTGGGCCTCTGACCTCGTTGGGTACGGCGCAGCCGCCAGTTACCTGGCTTACCTGAGCAGCCTGGGAGGGCTGCGGCTGCTGCAGCTCTGCCTTGAAGACACCTGGGTGGCAGAGATAGGATTGATCTCCAACATTTCTGGACTGGTTGTCATTTCTCTTGCTACTACAACACCACTGATGTTTACAGGTGATGCTGAATTCTTAAATCCCTGTATCTCAGGCTCTTAACTTAGAGGTGCCAGTAGATGCAGGAGGGCAGTGTGCTTCTGGGAGTTCGAGCACGTGGAGGAAGTTCTGCCTTCATTTCAGCCCGTGTACCAACAAAAGTGTGGCTTGCTGACAGCAAAGTTGGCTGAGCACTGGAGTTGAAAGTGCAACCATATAGTTCCTGGAATATTAGGTTTCCCAGAAGCTGTATTACACTGCAGACGCAGACTAAAGTGCATTATGAGAAGCAGGAGGGTGAATTGGGTCTAAACGTAGCAGGGAGAAACTGCCGGGAGCTACAGATTTCTGGGATTGACTTTGGAGACTTTATTTTTCAGCTGAGCGTTCCCTAATGTGCTGTATCTTGCTCACAGGTTATGGGATTCTGTTCCTTTCCATGGCAGCCACTCCAGTCATCAGAGCCAAGCTCTCCAAGCTGGTCAGTGAGACGGAACAGGGTAAGGAGTTAGCCAGTATGCTTAAGCCAGGTCCTGAAACACCGTCCTCTTGGAGCATTGAAACCAAGCTGCTTTGGGAGGTTAGGACTTCCCTGGCTCCTTTGGACTCCTGTGCCCCTGCATTCACCCTCAGGCCCAGAGTAACATCTTATTTTTTCAGAATAATTGTCATTCATCTGTTTAGACTTGCTACGTTTTCAAGATGAGGACGAGAGAGGAAAAGCAAGATGAGAAGTATTGCATCCAAGCTCCGGAATAGTTCATTCATCCATCTGTTCGTTTCCAAAACTTTTACAAGGAGCAAGAGTTACAATGGATTATATAACAAGCAGAAAAAAGTGATTTCCCTGACCATGACTCTTTTCTGTAGATCAGTAACAGTGGGAAGAAACCCAGTGTTGTTAGAGGGTTATATTATTGACCATGGTGAAAGATCATGGATAACCCGTAGGAGGAGCATGTCTGCCTTTCTTCCAGTAATTTGGAGAGCTTGCCCTTGCTGTTAAACACTACATAGGAATGCCTCTGCAGGCAAACAGAAGGGAGAAGGGAATTGAGGTGTGAAAGATCAAAAGGCGACTTTGCACAATTCACGTTTCTGATGTTAGAATGAAGGTGGCGCACACTTGATGCCAGATTTATGACGCTAAATCTATCAAGTGCAGTCTTCCGCTGTACTTAATGTTTAACAAGCAATAAGGTGTGCTTGACAGTAAACAGGTCGATATAGCCCTTTCTAAAGTATTTACAACCCAGCTGGTAATATCCCTGGTCAGCTCTGGTGATACAAATTCTGGAGATCAGTGAAGTGGTCCTGGCGACAGAGAAGCTGAACTTGACAGATTTGGCCTGCTAGGCCAGCACCGTGTGCCTGTTCTCTGTTCCCACCTCTCGCTTGGCACACTTGATAATCAGACACCGGGTTTCTGATGGGAAGTGCAAACCCTTAGAAAGATTCAGAGAATGTCAGTGCAGGTGATGTGTTAAAGACGTTTGCAGCAGGGCTGTCTCACCATCAACCTCTTACGTATCTTTTCCAGGTGCTCTCTTTGCTTCTGTTGCCTGTGTGGAAGGGCTGTGTTCACTTGTGGCTACAGGAGTGTTCAATTCTCTCTACCCTGCCACCTTGCACTTCATGAGGGGATTCCCATTTCTCTTCGGGGCTATAATTCTCCTTCTTCCAGCAGCTATTATTGGGTAATGTACTTCAAATTTCTGAACTTTGCCATAGCACCTGTGAAGTGTAATATGAAAAATACTGTTTACTCTACTTAGGATAGAGGCTCACAGTTTTTAAGGCGTATTTTCAGTTATGCTTGTGAGAGGGTGTTTAGTGCCCCAGTAAGCAGAGGTGCCGGTCCATTTCTTCTGGCATTTGAATCCTAGCGATAAACCTGCAGCCTGAGTAATATAGCTGCCGACATTCAGAGTACTTCAAAGTCTTACTCCACCCTCAAAGTGAAATCCAAAATGTGGAGTTGAATTTGAAAGTCTCCTTTATGGAAAAGATGGAGCTGTCTTAGCGGTCTCTCTCCTTGTCATTTCTTGGATAACTAAAGCAAAAGTTGTGTCATGATAGAAAACAAATCCCCTGGTAAGTCCTAGGAGAGATTTGGGATTTGTTGTAGATTTGCAGTAGACATGCAACAGCTCCTGGCAGGGTCATTTTGTTCTCTTCCATTGAAACTTTAAAACTTACTTCATTCAGCAACATCCTAGTGTGCCTTTGTAGGCTCTAACTGTTCTTTCTTTCTTAGGTGGATAGAAATCTGGGATTCAAACCATGAGTACAGTCACTTCTCAGATGCTTCCCTGTCCCCTGCAGATGGCTGAGCAGCAAGGAGTTGGCCAGCTCAGCAGTGTCCATCTGAAGACTGCTCTTTATTCTTCCCTTGAAGGACAGATTAGTGTGGGAGGAACACCCTGCTTGTCCTTACTGATTTTTCAATGCCAAACAGTTGGAAATCACAGCTCTGACTACCAGTAGGAACTTGATTTGCAGATGTGAATGCCTCCTCGTCGTTGTGTTGGCTCATCTGTCAGAGAAAACCCAAGAGACCCAAAAACTAATCAAGAGTAGAAGCTATTGTTGGCCGTTTGCAAGGCTGGTTAGTGATTTGCGGTTTGTTGGGGAAGGAAGGTTCTGTGGCATGCTTTTAGTGGTGAGAGAGGACTGAATTCTGGTTTAATTGCCAAACATGTCTCCTCTGAGTACTACAGTGTGCAGCAGATGAGCTGTTGGTGTGGGTGAGGTCCAGACCAAAGCCTGCAGAGCGAGACTGAAGCAGAGGTACCCAACAGCGTGCTGCTGAGGAGAAAGGTCTGTGCTCCGAATCAGTGTGTTGTCAATAAAAGTCATACAAATGTCGCATGCCGGACTAGAGTCCTACAGAAATCCTTATGATGAGAGGTAGTTTACCACAGGAGTGCTATTGCCGTCCTTATTGACTAAATTAGCTTTAGCTTCACCAGTTAGAGGTGTCCTGGGGAGAGAAGGCAATGCATGAAGTGCTTGTAGTTAGGGCTACCAGGGGCATGTCCTGCCTGTCTGTCTGCAGCTCAGCCCAGGATTTCAAAGGTCCTTTTGAGAAGTAATAGCTTGTGTGGGAATGCTCTGGTGCAAGTAGGTACTTTAATTGACAGTTGCCAAAACTGATGAAGTTAAGGCTAAAACTGATAACATTGGGCCCCCCCTAACTGGAGACTCTTGCACTACAAATTTGAGGCCCCAGCTTTGATCAGCGTGCCCTAGTGTCACGTGAAATTACTGCTCTGCTTATGGCAGAGCCAGAAACAGTCTTCCCTCGTCAATACACAGTGCTGTTGCGATGAGCTGGCGTGGGGACGGGACTAGTATCTTTGGAGGTAAATTTTTTTGTTATATGGGGCATAATTTTGTGTCAGTGACCTCAATTCTGCTGCCCTTCTCAGGATGTGTTGGTGCCAGCAAGTAAACGCTGTGTTCATGGTTGCACTTAATTGTTCTTTTCAAAGCATTAACTGTATTGCCTCAATCCTATTTTCTTCAAACTGCCATAAACCAGCAGTTCTGTGTACACTGCGTTGCACACACTGTTCAGATGCATGCAATAATGTCTTTAATGTGATATTGCTTAGCAGACATGTTACTTTCAGAATAAATAAAACCTCCATTCTCTTTTATGGTTCATAAAAAGATAGCTTTTCTTGTACAGCTGTTGATGTAATTTGTCCGTGCCTCGTTCTGTGCTTCTCTCCATTATTTTCATGCTTCTTCCTTTATTGAAGACTCTGCCGTAAAGAGGCAGCAGCGGGAAGTTACCTGTCCTATGGAGAATGAGCGTGTGAGAATCCCAAGTCAGGAAAAATGCAGGTTTGGGACTTGCAAGCAGCCAAAACTTGCTTTTCCTGAACACCGGCATAAACCTTGCGTGAGTGCTTAGTCTGTAACCTGTCCTTCAATATGCAGTAAATGTGAAATGCTTATATACAGCTTTGTTCCCTGTTCACTAGGAGTTTGTGAAAAATCAGGAGAATTAGGGAGTGGAGAAGTAGGGAGGCTTTAAGAACTTGGTGTCATGCCACTTGATCCGTGTAGTTATGCCAGTGGACATGGGCAGGCTAAGCCCAGAATTAGCCTCCCTGAGGAACAGGGCATGCTGTGAGTGTTGTGTGAGATGTTTGTAGCAGAACTGATCGTGAAGTCGTCTCTACCAACGGACTCCATGGACGCCAATGCTAGCAGCTGCTCAGTGTTGTGCAGTGAAGTGAAACTTGTGTACTGGCTCTGCTTTCCTGTTTGTGTCAGCGTGCTTGCAAGGGAGAAATTCAATAGGAACTGTTATGCTCTATTAAAAAAAATGAAAGTTTTTCTAGGCTGTCCTCCAAGAACTACAACCATGAAGCAAATGATCCATGCATCGTGACTGGGAGCAGCGTGTAGAGAGTCCCTGGGGACGCGGTGAGCTACATCAGTCCATGCAAAGGTGAGCGTGAAGTGTGGGTCCCCACAGAGAATGGTGCCTGGAGAATGTCAATTCTGCTGCCCCTTCAGAGGATGAGAAAGCATGACAGCAAGTGTGAGAAGGCTGCAGGCAGAGAAGCATGTGACACAAACAGAAAAGAGAGGGGGATTTACAGTATAAACTGGATTTATTAATAATGTCTGATAGAACAACTTTGTGACGTGACATAGCAAAGGAATAAGGAAGGATGAGAACAGAAGAATTAATTTCCTTGAGACTGTCTGCTCCAACTGGAAGGGGCTGGGTGTGGGATGTTTTGTCAAGAGCAGGGTGAGTTCATTAGGGTGAAAATAGCTGAATGATGGGGAAACAGGAAGAGTCACAGCCTGGGCAGCTGGAGCATGAGATAGGATCTCGTGGCAGGTGAGACACCTAAACTGGAGAGAACAAGTAAATCTCTACATTGAGTGGCAGGTGGGGAGGTTAATTGCTCGAGAGCTCCTGGGAAACGAGACGCAATAATCTCACTGTGTGGTATTGTAGGGAGAAAAATCCTTAGGACTGTTTGTGTCTGACTCCTTCAGTGGCCATGGGGGCCTTGACATTCAATCAGTTACTCAAGACTTTTCCCTGAAGCAGCTCACAAGTGGCTTTTATCCTTTGACAGATTCACCTTTGGGCTCATCTGCTGGCTTCCTCGTGTTTAATCTGGAGATTAGATAGATTCTATTTCTGATGAATGCTAGGCAGATACAGCTATTAACCTTTCACTGGAGAGCAAAGATGCCATTAACTGTGAGCTGATAAGAACTATCCATAAAGCTGTGATTAAGCACCAGAATTTAACTTTTTTTTTTTTTTTGTCCCCTCAAATGTTCATGGATCTAAGCCAAAAGGAAATGTGTTTGTGTTCCTGCCAGTTAAGACAGGCAGCAGGGCTTCGGGGAGAGCCAGGAGAAGGACAAGGTGGCTGAGACTCCTCATTACCTCCTGAAAGAGTTGAGTTATCTTGAGCAGGGACAGGCAGAGGAGCTTGCTGCTTCTGCAGGGTGGTGCATCAGCCTGCTCTCCAGAGCATCAGGACAGGCTGGTGTTCCCCGAACATGTCTTGCTCTTCCTCCTGTGTGTGCTCTGAACAGGGATGTCTTTTTGCATTATTCACTTAGCTCTGCATCAAAAAAGACTAACTCAGGTAGGAGCTGCAATTTCTGGTCCTAATTGCAAAATGGGATGTTGTTGAGAGCTTGCTCACCCTCCAAGCAGGTGTGAGAAGCAGGACAAGGCTGGGAGTGCAGAATTCCAGGGAGGTGTGTCAGGGTGCCCGTGGTTCCTCTCCTGCAGTGTTAGCAGCAGGTTCTGCCAGTCCTGCTCCCAACCGGTGCTCACACCTGGCAGCCTCCGCCTGCCCTTTGCATCGGCTTCGTTCTTCCCTGATATTTCAAGATGAGTAGCTGCAAAAAGACCTCGTGGGTCGGTAGAAAGAAACAAATGCTACTTGGTATTGCATCCAGCAGAGAGTAGGGACAACCCTGAGGAGCTTAGCCAGGGGTGAGTGGTAGTCAGCAAAGAGATATGCCAGCTCCTCTTTGAAGGAACAGACCACGGGAGATCTGCTGTGGAGCACCACCAACAGAATAAAATACAGTCAGTGCATAACAACTCCACAATTACAGTACTGCAATTAGCATCTTCTCTATCTGCAGGGATATATGTTTTCCAGAGTCACAATCCAGCCTCCTATACCCTGTAAGTATAGACCTGACAAAGTGGTAAAGCTGAGACTTCAGATGGAGGGAAGGGGCTTTTTTTAAAAGCATTTTTTGCACAGATCCTGCAGAAACTTCACGTGATCTGGCCCCAAACTTCCATCGCCAGAGTTAAGAGCACAAAGTGGTTTTGCAGCATTAGGAGGTGAAAGGCCCTTGAGGAGGGAGCGAGCTCATGTGATAACGGAACATTACTGGGAAACAGAAAGCTGCTGCTGAGCAGTTTAGAAGGCCTTTGTGTGTTATCTTTCCCAAACAGCAGGATTTTGTTAGGGCTTAGCTTTTATTTGCCCTTTCCTGCTCTCAGCTTCTGACTGCAACGATATTCCCGCAGCACACAGCAGAGGCCATACGATGCTTATGGACCGTTCCCTCTCAACTGCTCTTCTCTCTCATGTGTCCTCTTGCGCTGTACCCCTCACCAATTCCCCAGTTTTTGGTCCTCAGAAGATTCTTCCTCTTCGGACGTGTTTCTGGGGGAAGCTGCAGCCTTTGGCGGGGGTCTGGACAGTGTCGGTCTCCCTCGCACCCCTGCCTTGCAGGAGGCGTAGCCTGCATGTCCTGTCACCCCAAGGGAGGATGTGGAAGACAACTCGTCCATCCCAGAGTCCGCCCTGGCTTGGCTTGCCAGGCACCATAAAAGTGAGTACTGGCCTTTTAGTGCCAGGGGCTTGCATTTGGAGGGTGAAGGGGGGTTAATGAGCCACAGACCTTGTCTCAAGCCAGGGTACTGAGATGAGGAAAAATCTGGAGGGAGAAATTTGGCCCCACATAAAAAAAAGGGGTCACCTGGGAAGTCTCTGGAGGGGATGAGGCAGTGGTGCTGGTTCTAGGTCTGCCCCAGGGAGGATGAGCAGTCCAGACCGTTCTCCGACCCCGCCGAGGAGTCCCGGGAGGAACGGCCCTGGAGAAAGCGGATGATTTTATCAATTGTGGCCTCCTGGTACTCGTGGGACCACCTGTGTTCAAGGGGAAAATTTGATTTAATTTTTTCCATTGTGTGAGATGCCACAAGATAGTTCAGTTCATTTGGGCCAGGAGCCAGAGACCCCCTTCCTCCACCCCAGCTCTCTAGGAGCTCCCCTTTTCCCCATGGAAAAATGGAGGAACGCTGGATGCTGCAGGAAAACCCCTTTCCCCGTGCCGTGCCAGGCTAGAGGGCTACAAGCAGGTTGGGATGCCAGCCCAGGGTGCTGCTGCACGAAGGGGAAGCAGGAGGCGAGAGAAACTCAGGTGAGCTGCAAAACCTGCCAGCATCACTCCTGCCTGGAGGGCTGGGGGCACGAGGGTGGGCGTCCTCCCAGCGGCAACGGGATGGGGAGCTCTGTTACCCAGAGAAACCCCAAGCACAAAAAGAGCAGAAGGGTTATGGTGGGGACCTTTGCTCCCTTCATGGTCTGGAATACCCGAAGTGACTCACCTCCCCTTTGGCCCCTTCTGCCTCCCTCATCTGTTTCTCGTGATTTCCTCACGCTCTTTGCTACTGCTTAGGCAAGCCGTTCTCTCCAGGTGTCAAGGAACCCCGTGGCACAGGTTCCTTTTACTTACTTGATACCATTAAACTTCAGGACAGCCCTCATGTCCTTGGGAAGTGTTTCTGGGTCCGGCCACTCAAAATGGTCTGTAACAGGTACAATGTTCTTTCCAGAGTTCAGGGCTGTCACAATCTCCTGCAGGAACAGGCAAGTGCTCAGGCTATGGCTGATGTCAGCCCTTCACCAGCTCCTTCCTGCTCCAACATCCGCCAAGCTCCCACCTTGTGGCATCTCCTACCTTGTGCACCCAGTCCTTGCACTCGGGGTCTCCCATGCATTTATCCAGTGCGTTTGGGGACAGGACCAGCACAAAATTGCGGGCACTCATGACGCTTTGGATCAGCTTGTCCTCAAATTTCCCTGCCTCCAGCTTCTCCACATCGATGAACACGCTGAAGCCATGCAGCTGCAGGTGGACCTTCAGCAGGCTGGTGGCAAGAGGGGACAGCACCATGAGACATGATTCTTCGAGACATGGTTTAGTGGGTTTAGTGGGCATGGTGGCATTGGTGGAGGAGGACCACCAAGGTTGGACTTGGTGATCTTTGAGGTCTCTTCCAACCATAATGATTCTATGATTCTATGAGGAGAGCTACTGCCAGTGCCTGGGTTTCATGTGCTCTCCCACCACGTCAGCCAAGACGTGGTGAGACAGAGGAGCAGCGAACAGGCTCCCACAGAGAACGGCACAGTCCTTGAGATGCCAGCTGCCAGCCCAACCTGCTTACAGGTGTCTGGGCCCACGCAGAAAACACGGGGAGCCAGACATTAACTCCCTGCTGTGATCCCCTACAGCCCTACGAGGACAGTGTGAGAAAAGGGTAAGTCAGTGTCAAAGAGGGACAGGGTGGCAGTGACAGGACTGGGATTTAGCCTGTCCACCACGCAGATTATGGCATGTGCTGTCCTCGTGTACGCTGCAGCTTTTGGCAGCCTCTCCCTCCTCCCCGCTGCAGCCTACGGCTCTTCCAGCTCCACGCTTTTCCCACCACTGCTCACCAGCCTTTGCTCTGGGCTTCAGCCCGGCACCGTATCGTTGCCTGCAGGACTCACCTGGCCAGCTGCGAGCCGGTGCTCCTCCGGTAGCTGATAAATACATCAGTCCCATCGGATGCGGTTTGCAGCGTTATAGGGGAGTGAAGCATTTCTAGGCAGAGCACACAGCAACCAAAAGTTAAAAATACCCAACAGCTCATCCCAAACAACCCTCAAAACTCACCCCCCGCCCGCCTGCTCCGGTGCAGCGAGCAGCAGTGGGACCCGCACCCCTTGCAGCAGTGAGGATGCGGACGCGGTGGAAACCGGTGTTGATGTGGCAATCCTCCTGCAGCTGCTGCTCCGTCACCCGGTGCAAGAAGTTGCGGTTGATGCCACACGTCAGCAGGTTGTACGTGTACTGACGAAACTTGGGGTCGATGCCGCCCAGCCAATCGGCCAAGTTGCTGCGGTCGCAGGTGGAATAGTTTGCGAAGGTTTTCAGCTCTGTCAGCTCCCGGAAAAACCTGGCAGAGAAACAAATGAAAGTGGGGAGTGGGGAGAGGAGGCTGCTGGACCAGGCAGGACCTGGAGACATTTGGTACCGCATCTTTTATCTGCACAGGAGAGAGTGCAGCTACATGCTGTGGTGGAGAATGAGCTAAAGGAACAGGAAAAGAGAAGAACAGTTGCATGACTGTGGGAGTGTTGGTCCTTGGGACGTGGAGCTATGAGGAGGTCAGCTAAGAGAGGAGAAGCTCGGGTAAGTTCCCATCTTTCTGGGTAACTTGCAGGATCCCACCTCCCCTGTGCCGTAGGTGGTCTCTCCCCATCCCACACCTCTCCCATATATTGGCCCCATTGCAGGAATCCCTCTGGGACTGCGCACTGCACTGAAAAAGCCCTCACAGTCCAGGTTTTGCGTTTTGAAGATCTCTGTTCTTGTCTCTGCAAGAAGAGGAAGGGACAGACCTTTTCCCTGGCTCTGCCACTGTGGTGATGACCATGAGAGAGGTCAGTGTGCCCTGATGGTGGTTCTACCTTTTCCGAGTGATGCTGGAGTCCATCCCCAAATCCTCCTGCAGCTCCTGCTCCGTCAGCCTCAGGAGAATGTCCCCATCCACCTGGTGGTCCTGCCAAGAGAAATCCAGGCTGGCAAGGTCCCAGGAAAAGCTGTTGGGTGAGACGTTTACACCTCTGCTGCAAGATGGGGCAAAAGGGCCCATCCAGGTGTCCCTCCCCCGGCACACAGCCCTACCAGGAAGCTCTGGCAGTATTTGTTGAATCCAATCTGCTGCAGCCACGTCTGCACCTCGCAGGGCTTCCAGTTGGGAACCGTGGGTAGGATGCGCCGCGGAACCTCCTCGCCTATCATGCGCAGCACCTTTTTGGCCAGGGAGGAGGTTGTGCTGCTGGTGGAGTAGCACACTACCCTCTTCAGGCTCTGCGTAGCCCCAATCTCACTGAAAATCTGGGAACACAAAGGGAGGAGGTGTCATTTTTGCTTTGCCTCCTCCTCCGCACAACCTCTGCTGGGCAAGCTGAGGATCAGAGTACTTGGTGAGCTCATAGTGGAGCAAAAGACACCAAGATGCAGTTGTGGCAGCCCTCCCCTTTTGCATCTCCTTCCTTCAGGCCAACCTACCCTTTACCTTTGTTTTCTTCTGCCTGGTTTTGATGGCAGCCTCCGTGCAGAGGTAGAAGGCAGCGATGCACTGTGCTTCCAGCCTCGAGCTGTCCAGCAAGGGTACCAGTCGCTGCAGGTCCTCCGCCGTCCTCCCCTGGCTGTTGTCGCTGCTGCCCAACATCTCACAGGCGAACTCCTCCGGATCCAGCGAGGCAATGAATGGCTCCACCAGAGCCAGCGTCCCCGAGCGCTCCACCTCCTTCTCGATTTCTTTGTTGGTGGCCAGCACCGTGATGGCCAGGCACGCGTGCAGGCGGATTAGTTCATCATCCCTTGAGAACACCAGTGGGAAAAGCCACTCTGCTGTCCTCTTCTCGATCATCAGGCGCTGGTTGGCCTGCCCTCCATACATGGCACAGTTGGCCAAGGCCATGGCGCAGTGCCGCAGCACGATGGGGTCCGTCCAGCGGCACCAGTAGAGGATAGCATCCAGGCCTCCGTCAGAGATGAGCTGGAAACAGGTCTCCTCAGTGTGTTTGAACATGTGCTCCAGGATACCGGAGATGCTCTGTGCCAGCTGGGGAACATCTCGCTCCTTGGCTAAGTTCAGAATCACGCCTAGACCGATCCGGGCGATCCGATCCCTGCAGGAAGGAGAGGCACAGGCAGGTGAGGGGCAGACAGCCATGCAGGGCATGAGAACAGTGACTGGTGTGTGAACTCCCACATGTTTTGGTGATGTTTGACCCAGGACAGCCAGATGTTTCCCTGTGGGACATGGCTGCCAGGCTGCGATGCAGCGAGATATGACAGGCTGGTGTTGGAAGAACCTGTTTGGGTCTGATGGAAGAGCTTGTGATGCGACAGGACATGGGGTACACAGCCCAGGACCACCACGCCAGAGGCTGTCGTACTCAAGGTAAGGCGTTCGTCACAATTAACAAGCACAGGGTGGGCTAATGCCAGGCTAGAAATAGATCTGCTTAGTCAGCTTTACTGGGTGTGTGTGAGCTGCTTTGTGTTCCGGGGTGAAAACTCGTTTGTCCCTAACCAGTGCTGTCCTCTGGCTGCTCTCCAGATCGGTGACAAGCCCAGGACAGCGGTTTCACACCTGGCTGAGCAACCACGCAGAACTGGCCATGGGGCTGTGCAAAAGACGGGGATCTGCCTGTCCTGGGATGGCAACGTGGAGGCAGCTCAGAGGAAAGCTCTTTATTTCCTCAATCCTGGGCTCTCCTAGAAGGGGACAGCAAGAGCCTGGGGGCAGGTGGCCGAGGGTCACCAGCTGCTGCTCCGCCGTGGCTGGCCTTGGGAGCCCTGTGCTGCAAGGATGGTCTTAAAATGACACCTGAATGGGGCTGTGCCCTAAAAGCATAAAGCAAGGAACGGGGAAATGATGGGTTCTTGGCTGCCCTCCCATGAGCTTGCTTAGGGCAAGGGAGCGGTTCCATCTCCGGCCTTAGAAATGACCCATTTGGTGCTGCGACGGAGCTGTTCCCTTCTCAAGGCACAAGCGCTGGTGCGGATGCCCCGTGCCGTGCTGCTCATGTGGGCAGGGGTGCGTTTGGTCCCCGGTGATGGTGGGGGTGGAAGGCATGGCCTCTCTGCGTTGGCAAGCAGGAAAAACATTTCTGGGAAGCCTGTGGCCCGGATGGCTCATGCTGACCTTGGGGTGGGTTTGGCAGCAAACGCTGTGGAGAGGTCTGGAAAAAAAAGCCCTCAGGCTGGAACTGGCTCCGAGCCCGGACTCAGCCACAGAGCTGGTTGACAAACACAGCCCCGCCAGGTCCCCGACTCCCTGCAGCCACGGAATGGAGCCAGGACCGGTCCAGCTCCCAGCTAAGCACCGCTGCTGCTGCGCACGGATGCTGGGAGAGGTCTCTAAGCCAGAGGTTTGGACCCAGGGAGGGACCCTACACCTCCCTGCCCTTGCTCGGAGATTGATGGTGAGTCAGGCTGCAGGGAGTGAGGGGCTGGGGGCCCATGGCTCCTCCAAGACCCTGGCCCATGAACTGCTCCTGGAGCAGAGACGGTGACTCCAGGAGCTGCTTTGTCTTGCCAGGAAGCTAAATGCTGAATTCAGACCACGCCAGTGATGTTTCCTGGGATTAATTCCACTCTAATGGACTTTCCTGATTTAGCTGTTGCTTCTTTTTGCCTGCCGGTGCGTGCAGCAATGCCCAGGCTCCAAGTCCAGAACCTTACAGCAAGACACATTGCCCGTGAAGCTGGAGCAAGACCACAAACTTTGGCCAGGCTTCCTTGACATGCGCCCAAAGCCCTGGCTGGGGACGTTGGGCTTGGGCACACGGAGGGAGAGCAGAGCTGGCAGAGCCACGTGTTTGCCTCCAGGATCCCAGGGGAGAAAGGCCTGATCCTGACCCAGCTCACCGCAGGTATACGGCTCCTCTCTGGGACCGGCGTGCCGCAGGCGGTGCTGCCGGGACATGCCGAACCAGACACGGGGCAGAGCGGGGAGTTTGCCTTTCGGGGTACCTTGCGGGAGTGCGTTTGTGGTGTTTGCAGGGCAAGCTGCGTCAGCGCTGCTGTGCACTTAGGTGTGTCGGGTGCCACGTGTGCACGTGCACCCTCCTACACGTGCTCGTATATACACACACGAGCTCCCACCCCACCAGTGCCGATGCTTTGGCAGAGCCAGCCCAATGCCTCTCGCCTGTCCTGGGGAGCAGCAGACGCATCTCCAGCCTCTGAGCTAGGGGCCACGGGCTGGGGGGCTCTGAGGGCCACTGACAGACTGGTCCCCTCCTTATGGCCTCACTCCAGCCCTGGTGAACAGCAGAAAGTCTCTGGGAACCGGCTTTGGCTTCCTCTTCCTGCTGTGGTCATGGCTAAGGGGGAGTCGTGTCT